TATAGTACGGAATCACTTCGAGAAAAGTTTTGAGAATTGCAAACTCAAAGTCATCTATTATTATCAAAATAAGCCGACACCAAGCTTTCTCTTACAGCACAAAGTACTTCAAAGAGAACCATAAAATAACTGTTGTAATTGCTGCATACAGCTATGTCAATACACTTCAAAAATGACTTCAGAGAAAACCCATGAGATGTCGGACGTGTTCCTGTCTAAATCACGGGAAATAGAATCAGCAAAAGGCTAAAAAAGTTCCATTCATCATTTAGCATGCATTGCAAGAAGAAAACACAATCTCTTTAAAGTAAATAAATATTAAATACAAATTAAGCAGATTTTTCAAATCACTAACCTTACAATTAGTTGCCCTGACCGAAAAAAGGAGACCAAACGTTTTGAATAATTGATCAGTTTAGACTCAAGGATTCATCGAATTTCATCGATCAGAATTTTGCCTGCTGTCGCTATTAGTAATTTGGTAGTAATATTATTATCTCAGTGGACTGACTCATTCTGACTGATTGAAATTATTGAAAGCTTCGATCTCAGTTCTCTGTCGTTCGTCCTACATCTATTCTTACTTCTGAAAAAAGTCCGCCACTGTTTCATGTTAAATTCTCCTTTGACGTAACGTCGTACCCAGACCCTTGGGTCCAAAAGCACGCGTCCCAGACAAAGCCCGCGCGTCTTTATGCTTAATAAGCTTATTGTTAGAGACGTCACTTCCTTTCGTGTTAAAAATGATTAAACAGACAAAAGAAGAAGAAGAAGAAGAAAAAAAAAATGCAAAACAATAAAAAGACCAAAAATGGCCATCCTTCATCTTTTAATTAAAATTAACTTTCTTGCTGATGACAGTATTAGACAATGCGCCGATAGTGCAAGCTCGGGTATTATTATGATTTGGGGATGAASGAATCGCAAATTTGCGATTTTATCTTTTATAAACATGGGCTCTCGCTAGAGAAATTCCTTTTTCTTGAATGTAGATAAATATCTATTTATATGAAACACAGGAATGTTTTCAATGTTATGTCATACTCACCTTGCTAGTCAGTGATTCCAGGCTTTCAATTTTTTCTTGGATGCACTCTTCAAGCTTTTGTTTCTCGTCCTAGATTGGAATATAAAAGGAATTGAGTAACATGATATTCAATTGTCTCAATAGTACATATGATTGTTTCACAATAACTCCCCCCCACCCCCCCAAAAAAAATATTAGAGCGGTTTATTTTTTCTGAAAAAAATGCTTAAAATGAAGAATGGGTGTTTCACGATTGTTAACGTTATATATGCTGGAAGTTAAATGATATCTTTTAAGATATCAAAAATTAAAATTAAAATTAAAATTCTTTGGAAATGAATGCTTTTCCACCTTTAGCTTCTTTTTTTCTTCTTCTTCTTCGCAGTTTGGATAACCTAACCATTTGACGATTCTCCCTTCTCTTGATATCATCCCGATTGCAGCAAAACCATTGAGAACATCTCCTAGTCTTCTATAGACGTTTTTGCTGGTATAAGTCAAAGAATCCTGGACAAAACCATATCAAAAACAACATCGATGAATACCTTTACACATACCGTTGGGAATCGCCAACTTGGGGCGAAGCTTTTAGTATTTATATTTTCCGTGCGACGATAAAGAAGGAGAAATAACTGTATAACGGTTGTTGAAGAACATAGCACTGCCCGCCTCCCCACTGCGWCAATTTCATTTTGTTGRCAATACATTAAGGGTGCTTTCCATTTAGGCAGAACTGACCGGCCAGTCCACTCTATTTAGAGGTATATAATGCTTTTTGTCAACATTTCTCAGTCATTTCGAGATTGTCTGTAGAATAATGGATAGAATTTGAAAATTTGAATTTCCTAACTAAATGGGAATGATATATAATGGTAATTGAACTGAGTGGAGTGCAATTTGGTCTGAAATCAAACGCGCGATTACAAAATCGCACGACCGCGAAGCGGGAGTGCGGTTTGTAATTGCAAGTTTGATTTCAGACCAAAATTGCACGACACGAAGTTCAATTACCACTTAATTATATCCATTTTGAAATCTTAACAAAAAAAGACAGTCGTCGCTTTTTAAAACCGGAACCGGAAAGTCTTTTACATCTCATTTGCAATTCATAAACTGACAGGTCATGTCACTTCACTTCGAGGAAAACTACGAACTTACGAGCAGATTTTGTTCAAGTTTTATTTCATTTTGAGTTCTCATAAGATTAAATTATGGAGGCCGTCTGTTTCGCCTGTCGCAAAGAAGATTAAAGAGTTGTTGCAGGGTCTTTGAGATGGATATTTTAACGTGTTTATCTACAAATTTGCGTAAAGCTGCCATCGGCGAAGACGATCGATGCCATGTGATTTTAAGAATTTCCTCGCCTTCACAATCGTTACGTTGTTGCCTTTCTCCTTCAAAGAGCGGTCAAAGGAACTTTGTATCTGTCTTACTGTTTCTGGTTGGTTGCTGTCGACTTTTTGAAGTCTTACTCTAGCATAGAACTGGCATAAAATGTTGTTCAAAAGTTTTACTTGCTTGACAATCAAGATGGCGGCTCTTGAACGAGGACATTCATCCACATTTTCCAAAGTTTTGTTGCTGTCTTTGTTCTTATTAGTGACCTGAAGACTAAGGATGTCTGCATAATTTATAAGCCCTGGAAATCTTCATTCATAGAAGGGCTTCAATTGTTTGTGTTGCAGTTGCAAACTGAGCTGCATGAACTTGCATCCCTTGTTGAACGTTTCTGACATTTTTGGACTGTAAATTACACTTTCGTCAGGATTTAGAAGTAGCAAATGATGAAAAATTACACTGAGATAGTACATTGTCATCTAAAACTGCAAGTAAGAACTAAAATAATCCAATTTGCACATATATTTTCATCAATTGCTGTAAAACCTAAAAATGTACTTTTTGTGTGTCCTTTTTGCTGTAGTTTGATTGGTTAACCACACACAATCCTGTACTGTGATTGGTTGCCTTTTACTTGTTTTGCATTGTGATTGGCTCCTCAAAGGAGTGCGATTAAGAATTAAAAATGGTGCGATTTAGGCTGAAAACAACCTGCTAAGAACCAATCAGATTGCAGGATTCACTTGTGATTTCAACATGGATATAATTAATAATCATATTTTCTCTGGGTCTGCCAGTTCTGACAAATGGAAGGCGCACTAAGTTTTCCTTCTGAATTTTTCTGAAGAAAAAAGCCTGCCGGCCAGTCTTTACCTTGTGGACTTCGTCAYTCGCTCTATTAAGTTCCTTGTATATTATGTCAAAAATCTTGAAAAGAAAATAAATATYATAAATAGAGTTTTGTATGATAAAGCTATAATAGGCAAGCTACGGAATATTATGTGACTTCAACATAGTTAAATTGCGGGTACGATGAGATCGAGGATAGGCGTTTTTTTAGTTTTTGCTATAGTTTATACCATAAATAAAGTTTTAACTAAACATCATAGCTTTTTCACTCTCGATTCTGATTTGCTCTTGCGCTCTGCTATTTAATTGAACGCGATTGGTTGATTTTCATGCACCCCGTGTCAACATGGCGGCTCCCAAGATGGCGGAGGATTAAACATTTGCGTCTTTTTAGCAAACACTATCACTGAAATCACTGAAAAAAAGAAGTTAAACATGTTAACTAAGACTAAGGCTTTTTGCAAGCATTCAAAGGTGTCAGTTTTAGTTTGTTCGCTCTGAAAAACGAATTCTTTCTAGTTTTCTGCGTTTTGACGTAGGTTTTCCTCCTCCGATCGAAAGAATACTTTACAAAAAAAGTTCATTCTCAAATGCTTGAGATGAAAATCGTGTAAAGTTATAAGCAGAGTTTTCTTTTTCCATGACGTGGACCTACTATCTGACTAAGTTGAGTCAAAGAAACAACATGCCTTTAAAAGTCTATAATATTGTTCGCATAAGTTATAACTTATGCAGAACCGATTTTTAGACAAATTCTGGTTGACTTTTTATCATCATATAGTAAAAATAACAATGTATTTTTCTTGTGTATTATTTTGCAAACCGCAACCATGTATATTCAGCAAGTCTTTGGAATTGTTGTCATGAAATGATTAAATATTAACAAACAATCATTATTTATTAACATTAATGTTAATTTTAAAATAAAACAGGAAATATACAATTTTTTGGCATCATGAATGKTCACCAAGCTTTGTAAATAACCATATAAAAAGCTGAAGCATTCTTTTTTGATGGCAAATTCAGTAGTTTCCTTGTTARTTCTTGTCTTTACTGTGCTGTGGTCTATTCCTTGAAAATATAACTTAACAACACTGCCAACACAGTCCTCCCACTATACACACTACTAT